AAAAACCACAATAGCCACAAACTGCTGAGTTGGTTCTACAACGTTCCGTAAATGACACACAGCTAACTAACTAACAGTACCATACTCTTTTACAATTTGTCATCTTCGTAAGGAACCTTTTTTTTTTGGCGCCGATGGTGCGTCGGACTCCACTCAGAATGCGAGGACTATGATATGAAGATCAACGTAAACATAACAGAAGTGATGACATTCTCCAGAAAAGGAAGAACCACGAATATCAAAACTGATGAACACCAGTTAAAGCAGGCAAAGGTTTTTACATAACTAGGGAGCATTTTTTCAAAAGACGGAAGAATTCACAAAGAAATCTAGCAAAAGATGCAATAAAGCCAATCAAGTTTTAGGCCAACTGGCACCAATTTTGAAACGCAAGAATGTGAATATGAACCCTAAAAGAACACTGTTCAACACAATATTCCGAACAACACTATGCTATCAATGTCAAACACGGACACTGTCTTCAGAAGGTAGAAGGAAAATAGACACGACAGATATGAAAAGTTTACATACTATGCTAGGAGTAACGAGCAAAGATTGACTTAGAAATGTTATCAGGAGGAGAGTCAGCACAGAACCAATTCTGAACTTTATAGGAAGACAATAAATTAAATGGTTTGGCCATGTAACAAGATTGGCAGCAGACAGGGCACAACAGAGAGCAATGCTATATAAATACAGTGGTAATAGAGGCAGAGGTAAACCACGCAGAATATGGACTGCAGAAATATAACACTGAAAAGTACTTTATATGAAGTGAACAGAAAAACCTGTTCCAGAGATCTCTTCCTGCCCTGACGCTGTAAGGCATTCCAAGAATATAGAAAAGAAGAAGATGAAGAAGATTCATCATGGATATGATGCTAGACATATTTCTTTAGCCCAACTAGCAGCCGGTTGGTGATGTGGTCAGCATCATGTTGCTTTCCAGGATATGTTCGGTTGGGTCACAGTGGCAGCCATTGTCAATTTTAAATACAAAATCTGCCTCAATGTGGATGCAAACCCCAATACCTTTGGGCTGAAGGGTGAACGTCTAAGCCTTCATCTTCACTTATGTATTATCTTTACTGCAAGCTCTCAAAAGTGGCCACTTCCCACAAGTGAGAACTGCACTGAACAAAGTTACTGCTAGAGTCAACCATAGTGAAGAGGGTACCGTCCCACTATAGTGCTCCTAGAAAAAAACAAAAAGGTGCTGGACTGCCAAAAGGTGTGAATAAGATGTTAGATGTTAGTTACGGTGCCAGCTTCATGGCATACAGGTCACCCATACCTGGCCCGGCCCACTACTGAGCCAGTCAAAACCACACAGAATGCCAGTCATTGTAACTTCTGTTGATAGAAGCAGCAGTTGCAACACATCAGCTGCTGCACAAGCAATACTGCACAAGACACCACCAGTTCTCTAGCAACAAGCTCCCATTTTCTGCAGTTCTCGATGCAACCTTGTGCAGTCAAAAAGCACTTTACAGGAAATCCACAGCTCACAGTGTAGCACTATACACTCCACTCAGTAACTGCCCAGCAGAACTATGTGAATAAGAAGACGATGAAGTCTAATATTTTCAGTAAAGATATGAAGGATGCTAATCCTGGTGTACAGAAGTGAGTCACGGAGTCATCTGATGAATGAAAAATTATGCTGCAGCTGTAGAGGTGTGGTTTTATTGAAAATGATAAGAAACAACATGGGCTGATAACTAATTGCAATGAAGCTCACTTTCAAATCCAGCTGTGACTTGCTGCAGCCGCTGTTGGTGTTTGAAAGGGCGGTTCCCGGGGTTCACCCAGCCTCTAGGAAATGGGTACCAGAGTGACACTCTGGGGTAAATGGAGGAACGTCGCTGTAGCAACAGAGTTACGTGTGGACAGCGACACAGGAGGATAATTTCTTATCAGCTGTCCGTAGTGGTGGCAGAGCACTTATGGTTTATAACCATGTGCAATGACGCTGGTTCACATCTCCCGACTTTACCTTTTTAAAAGATATACACTCAGAAAAACAACTGATTCCTTGCACCTGAAGAAAACAGCCCACATTCTGCTGGTACACCATGAGAAGCTGGAAACTGGAGTACATCATGACAACAGGAAAGTCGGATGGGAAGAGATTTATAGGGAGACCCAGAGAGAGGATACTGGATAGTCTAGCTTCGTGGCATTATGAGAACACCCTGGAGAGACAAAAAGATTAATCAAGTCTTGAAAGAAACTGAATCACAAACAGAAGTGACTGCCCACATCAAAAAGAGCCAATCTAAATTCTTTGGTCATGTCATGAGAAGAAGAAAAGTAGAATACATCGTGACAGAAGGAAAGCTGGTGGGGGGAAAAGGCAAAGGGAGACCGAGAAAGAAGAAGCTGGACAGTCTGACATAATGGCATGGAGGATCATCTGTGTCAAAACCGATTAAACGAACATGAGACAGAAGCTGTGGTTAGACATAATTAGGAACACCACATGGCATAGAACAGATGATCATCTGTGACAGAACGGACAAAAACTATAAATGAATCAGAAAGCTGTGGTTAGACATGACTGCCAACACTCTATTGCATGGACTATGGAAGAACATCTTTGTCAGATGGATAGACATGATTAGGAACACCACATGGCATACACTATAGAAGATCTTTTGTGTCAGAACTGACAGAAACTAAACGAATAAGAAAGCTGTGGCTAGGCATGATTACCAACATCCTAAGGCATTGACTATGGAAGATCATCTATGTCAAAATTGATAGAAAGTACATGAAACAGAAGATTGAAACATGACATGGCACCTTTCCGTTTTTCCAGATGAGACTTGTATTGAGCTAAGAGAAGGCATGGGACTCAAAGCCCCTGGTGACTGAGACCAATAAAGTCAGGGATGAAGTTCCTCCTCTCCATAGCACAAAGCCTGGACAGTATTGTAGAGACCATATATTGTTCATGCATCATGATCCCTCCCTTTGCCTGCCTTCTTTACTGCCTCTGGAACAAAGCAAGCTGCACAGGGTGCTAGATCACAACAGCAGTGCTCTATCTGTCAGAGCTAGCAAGACCATCACATGTATCAGACACGTTTCTTCTCAGAGGCTCTGCTCTTAACCTGCCTCTATACTTTTCTATTTAGCTCTGCTGGAAAAAAAAATTGTGACATTCAACCAGCATCCCCAAAGGGGGAGCTTTCGGTTATACTTGTGACTAGGTTATGTGCACCATATAAAACGGCTTAGCATTGGACGCCACCAAGAGCCCTGAAAAGGACTCCGGCAGTGTTGATGCAATCAAAGGAGACGGACCCAAATACTGTCCCAACCGGCGTCCACCAGCGAGCCAATAGGCGACCCAGTCACCGATGTGTGAAGTGTTTTCTCTTTTGTCCTTATTCCTATTTTTACTAACAATAGCCTGGATCGTGAAGGACACTTTCCCCACACCTTCAGGCATCTGTGCCTCACCGGGCTAGACCGATATTTTATAGACTAATCTTCACTCGGTCGGTGATGTGGTTAACATCCTGCCAGCCGCCTTTACTTCTCACGATTGACCTGGTACCCATTTAAGGCTGGGTCAACCTAGCAGCCAAGGTTACCATGACAACAACTGCCACTAAAAATGGAACTCAATGGGCTCTTGACAAAGCAGTGATTTTCTAGACACAGCTGATAATCCTGCTTTTCTGTTCAACATACTATATCACATAGATCAAAGACAAAACTGAACACATCTGAAAGAAGGCCATAACAATCAGGTTTATAATTATATTGTCACAGAGAAAGTCAAAATCTCCCTCTGAGATATTTCACTTCACAGACAGGTCTTAAATAAGAATATAGAAGGTAAAAAAGCTTTCACAACACTGCAAAATATGTGAAAAATTAAGAAATAAATCTGCCACCACACTAAGAATATTCAACTTTCAGACAAATCAGCATTGTTGCAGCAGATCAGACACTTAGAGAATGTCACAAAACCAGTTTTAGATTCTTCTTCTTCTTAGTACTCATTGGCTGTAAACTCTGGCTGACGATGATGATGACAGAATGACTCATAGTTTATGGAGACATCTAACCATATATATAACAAAATCTAGTGAATCAATTTACCAAAAAATGATGACAATATTGAAAAAAACACTTCATTTATTATGGTAATACAGATACACTGAGAAACATATCAGTAAAATATAACTAGAAAGTCTTCTATATGGAATCTGCGGTAGGAGGTGGGGGTCACAGAGAAGTCTTTGACTCAATAGTGGGAGCGACATTGGGACAATGGTAAGAAATTGCACAGTAAAAGGTATGCAACCCTGAGCTATGGACAAATATTCTACTGGGGATAAAGAATAATTTGCAGGTAAAAAATAAAGACTAAAAATTAATAGTGAAAGCAAGATACAGAAGGTTCAGTTCACTTGCTGATTAACTGCTTGCTGTATGACTGTATAAGAAAGGAAGTGCAAATTCTGCCTGCATATGAGTGAATGAGTAACAGGAAGCTCTCCCACAACCAGCGATGAACACCTGGTGACACAAAGTACCACCATTCGGATGAAGATCATCTCACCGGGCTACAAATCCCAGAAACCCCGTTCAACCATCAGGTTATATTAGAGCTCTCGGCAACAGCCTGAGTAGGGCTTTAAAATAACCCCCCCAACAAAATAATACGTCCCATATTGGAGCGGAAGCAGATTTATTTATAATTATATTTATAGCTGACACCGGATGAGAAACATCTTCAATAACAAATAAGTGTTCTAAATTTAAACAGAGCGTGCAACTGGAACATCTTATTTAATAACTAATTCATACTCTAGTATTTCACTGCTTGCAATGTATAACATTCGGGTGTACAATATGAGCCCCGTGAAGCAGCATGTGACTAAATTGACTAAACAAAATACAAAAACGATCGAATGGTCTGCTACACACAACTCCCACCCCATAACAGGAAGACAAGACAATCGTAAACTTGCAGAACTCACCCGAAATCATCGTCCATAGACTTAAAGAAAAACTTGAAATTTGGTCGATTGAGAGCATTTTTGAAATCGCCTAAAGTTACCCTGTCTGCAGGGACTGGGAGTTTAATCAAATATGGGGTGTCTTCATCATCTATGTGATAGATGATTTTGGTTTCCCCCATCCCGGAGGAGGAAGAATTAGAATAGAAAAATCCACAGAAGATCACAGTTCTTGCACAATATGGCGATTAACTGAGGTCTGTATTTTTCTCTTTTTGCATTGAACTCCCAATTGTCAAAACGAGGCTTCATGGGAAACTACTCACATTTTGTAATCAATTCAGCTCGACGCATTAGTCTCCCTTTAATGTGAAAACTTTAGAACGAAACCGAAGTGGAACAATGCTGCATTGTGTCTTCCTTGTTGTTTAGAGTCGCCACTAGATGGGTTTGGGGAAAATGTTGCAAAGACAATACTGGCGTTGATTGGGTAGAGAACAGACAATTGTAGGATCTGGATTTCGCAATGATAATGTTCTGTTGAGTAAAAATAATAGACATGCAAAGAAAAACAGACGAATTGTCGTCTACAGCATCAACAATCGGACTACAAATAAGTTATAAGAATGACATATTAAAGATACCAACAACAGATCATGGAGATGTCATGCTAGAAAACAAATCACTAAAATTAACAGACCATTTCACCTATCATGATAGCAATCTGGACTTTCAAGGAGAAAAAAAGTTCATTATATTACGCATTGGCAAAGCAACAACAGTCTTTATAAGATATAACAAAATATGGAGAACTAAGATATACAGCTTAAAAACAAAATTATGAATCTTCAGTTTTAAAGTTATTTCAGTTCTGACATGTGCCAGCGAAAATTGGAGAACTACCAAAGATATGGAACGAAAGTTAAATGCCTTTAAAAATGAATGTCTGAGAAAGATCATGAACATAACATGGGATAATTTCAAAAATAGTGACAGATCAGAGAAATGCCTGGACAAATATGTGCATCGACTGTAGTAAGACATGAACATAGGGCCGCGTTAGCGTAGTCGATATGAGACTCGCTTTAAAATCATGCTGCAGCCAACGGCCGGTGTTCGATACCGGGTGGTTCCCGGGGTTAACCGAGCCTCTAGGAAATGGGTACCAGAGCTAACACTCTGGGGTAAATGGAGAAACGTCGCTGTAGCTACATAGTTGCTTGCGGATGGCGACACAGGCGGACAGTTTCTTATCAGCTGTCCGTACTGGGGGCAGAGCACTTATGGTTTATAACATGTCTGCACATTACCTTTTACTGTAGTAAGACAATGAAGGTGGAGATATATTTGGCCCAGTCTGAGACTAAATGAGCAAAGAATTACAAAACAAGCATTGAAATGGGAACCAAACTGTTTGAGAGGGGCAAAGAAGATTCTAAGGGGAACATTAAGAAGAACATTACGGGAGGCAAAAAAATCTAGGCTGAACTCCATGTCAGAAATCGAGAAAGTTTCAAGCAATAGAGGGTTATGGGAGAATCGAATGCGAGCTTCATGTAACGTCTAACGGCACACACAGGATGACAGCTATGAAGGTGGGGATGAATATGAAAACCGACATAAACAGCTCTCATGAGGACCTCCATCTTGTGTCCTGCTGCTTATACTGTAAATCATAACACTGTTACTATTAGATAGGAATTACATGTTGTTTCCTGTCGTTTGCTAGTTACGTAGCTTGTGTTACTGTCATATTGCTTTTCTGAAGTGTCTCTTTTACTCCTTTCAACCATCGCTTCCTTGATTGGCTTCTTGCTTTGCAGATGAAAGGCAGGCGGAAAGGGAGACGTGGACGACCTAAGAAAACCTGAAAAAGGAGCATCGTCGTCAGACGGCCAAACCATTTCATCTGTGGAAGAACAATTATATATATGTGTGTATATACGTGTATGTGTGTCCCCCCCCCCCTTTCTTAAAGTCCATGCCGTGTGGCGTTGGTAGTGATGTCAAACCACAACCTTATGTCTCGTGTACTTTCAATCAACTCTGACACAGATGATCTTATATACTATGATGTCAAACTGTTCAGCTTCTATTCTCTTGGTCTCTCTCTCTCTGCCTTTCCTCTCTTCTGACTTTCCTACAGTCACGATGTACTCCGGTTTTCTCCTTCTCAATACACGACCAAAGAATGTAGATTGTCTCTTTCTGATGCGGACAATCAGTTCGCTTCGTGAGTCAGTTTCTTTCAAGACGTCTTCATTACTCTTTTTTAAAAAAAATTTATCCAGAGTATTTACATAATCCGTCTACAAACTACATCTCCGAGGCTTCCAAATAAGTTTTCACTAATTTACTAACTGTCCATGATTCATATATATATATATATATATATATATATATATATATATATATATATATATATATATATATATATATATATATATATATATATAAATAATCCTTCTAGTGTGAATGAATGTGGGTATCCCGATGTCACTTTCTTTTCTGACTGGAATTAATAAAAAAAGACCCAGTTGCTACGCATGTTTTAAAAAGCACCTCGTGATATGCGGAAACTGGATGTATTAGAGACACAGATCTGCCCTCTCCCCCCATAAGTGCTTTCTAACTCATTCCATGAACATGCTTATTAAGACAATGCAAGCTGGATAGGCTGAGACTAGACAAGGATTTAAATCTCTTAGGAAATCTCGTCTGACAGGAATACGTTTCATTTTAGTGCCAGGACACTATTGGGTAATGGGGAATGAAAGAGCATGGGCAATGACATGAATAATAATAAACACTAGCATTAGTTGTTACTGTTGAAGTAGTAGTAGGATGAGGACGACGAGGAAAAGAAAAAAATGAACAAGGAGAAGAAAATTCAAAAGAAGAACAAGTAACGAGAAAATAAGAAATCAAAAAAATGCCAAACAAGAATTTGACGATTGGCGAAAACTTCCGGAAGCCTGCCCTGTTGTTGACGGTTTGAAGAATTCATCCAATTTCGTTTTCTCTTGTTTACCACAAACTTGCTGTGTGGAGGAAGCTGTTGGGCCATGGATTACATTTATTCTTTTATACCAGAGAGGATTCGAAATATCCCGACCCATATGGTAAGGCATGAAACCGACCACAGACACTGAAACCGATAAGCCGGTAAAATATTTAAGTAACTGATTAAAAAATATAAAATTATTATTATGTTAATATTAATTATAATAATAATAATTTAATTGCCCTTTTAAGTTTTATCCCCTGTGTGTAGGACACTGTAGGCCCTTAGCCAACCCGCGACAGGTTGCGGTTGTCCTACACTTTGCTATTGCATGCAGTTCACTTCACGCCCCTCTGTCTCTTCACACTCTAGCGGGGAGTCGCGGCTAGACTAGACTAGACGTTCGCCTGCGGATCAGAAGATCGTGGGTTCGGGTCCAGGACTGAAAAATTGCCTTGGCTCCCAGCCTTAACCGGTAGGTACAGCCATTGGAAGTAAAGGCGACTATCGTGATGCTGACAACATCACTTATCACAAACCATGCGCCGATCATTAACCTATCAATACAGGCCGGTAGCTGGAAAGCCGCCGATCGGCTTAGTGGGAGTTCTCTCCCTTGGCTGCATTGCAAACACGGAGCGGAAAAGTCACGAATAAAAAATGACAGTGAGATCGACTACAGGGCTGCCAATGCTTGGGTGTTTCCCCCACATCTGGGTGTTTATTTGACGCTTTGGGGAAATCTGGGGTTTTCTTAAAGTAAATATATCCTTATATATATAAACGTGGTATTAGTTGCCACAGATGTGACTCCTGCAGATCTGTATGACTCACTGACCGATAAATTTGCATGGTTAGGGGTAGGGTTAGGGTTAGATGTGACAAATTTGATGCAGGAGTTCCGAATAATTGCGCACAGTCACATACACACCCAAACAATCGAAGGACTGTGGATGCTACTCAAACGGACAATTTGCCACCGATTGGGCACCAGCCGCGCGCTATTGCCGTAATATTTGGGAGATTTCCAGTGGCACCACTCCCACAAGCATCATATTGTCGGCCAGTATATGGAACTCCTACGTCAAAATTGTCACATCTAACCCTATCCCTAATCCCCTACTCCTAACCCTATCCCAAATCCTAACCCTAACCCAACCCCTAACGCTGCTAACCCTATCCCTAACCCAAACCCTGCGCAACCGTATGATGACTACGCAATCGTACACGCAACTGTATGATGATAGGTAAGTATGTCATTTGATTCGTGACTTTTCCGCTCCGTGTTTGCAATGCAGCCAAGGGAGAGAACTCCCACTAAGCCGATCAGCGGCTTTCCAGCTACCGGCCTGTATTGAAAGAAGAGCCAATATTAATATATTTTTATAGGTCTCGCCCTGAAGTGTATGCCCAATCATACACTCCAAGGTGTGAAAAAGGGTCCTTCACTCGCTTGGCCTTGGCACTTCTCAATGTTTTTTGGAGGGTGGGCGCGGTCTGTGCAAACACATTGTAGTTGTCAGGATTTCTCAATATGTGTCCTATCAAGTACTAAATATCTATTCTAAATGTTTTTTGATAATTGATTTACCATAATGTGTTAGTTCTTTCATAGTATTCATTAGTAATTGATTTTATCAATCATGCCATTTAATTTCCTCTGAATTACATTGTAACTTGCTTTCTTGAGGTGATTCGGTAGCTGAGAAACTAGTAAAATTATTTAACAATGAAATTCTCAATATTTGTTAAGGGGCTCTCCTTTGAATAACGGTCCCAAATGATCTACGCAGAAAGTTAACCCTAACAGAGCCTCATTACGTCCTGCCCTACAAACATTTAATAGCTGTAACTGGGAAAAAATTAGGAATGAAAAGTGTAAGATAAAGGGCAAAGTCTACTACTTACCGAAAATTAAATCCTTTATATGTGAAAATTGTAGCACAGAAGTTGCAAATAGTGTGCGAATATCTGTTCTGTCTTGCTGTCCGCCATTGTAACTCAGCACGGCTTGTCCGCGATTCTCGTTCCCGGCGAGACATGATGTAAATGCGCGGTTTAATGTACGCGCATGTCGCCTCGGGACAACTTCAAACCAGCAGCCGCCACGATGGCGCTCCACTATCCTGACCACCACTTGACCGTGGCGAATGCGAGCATGCTGGTACTTCCGACAGAAGAAGTAGCTCCTGTAAATTGTAGACTTTTTTTTCCAGCGACTATAGTGCCACCTCCAAGAATATCCCCCGCGCCGCTACACGCGGCGCGGAAGGGGCTAAACTAGATGGCTGGGACTCACGAGCAAATACATTGGAGGAAGCTGCAGGAGCTGCGGTAGCTGCTGCTCGTGAGTCCTAGGGGGATACTCTCGGAGGTGGCACTATAGTCTGCGAAAAGCGGTCCGCAACTTACACATAACTCGGGCCCTGCGGTGGGATAGCGCTATCGGGAGTATTCTCGCGTGTCGCTAATTTTTTTCGTCCGTAGTAAATCCTAGTTTTGCCGCCGTGTAATCGCCGTAAAAAAAATCCGTTTCGTTTCGCGAAAATGTCGTGCGTAATTAATCCTACTTTTGACACAGTTGATTCACCGCAAAAGAAATGCAAATTTTAGATATGAGTGAGGCTCTGTTTGGGTTAACTTTCTGCGTAGATCATTTGGGACCATTATTCAAAGGAGAGCCTGTTAAGGTTCAATTCTCAAACAGTTCTCCCAGCTTTCAGACACAGTACCTTACCCGATACGAGAGGAACACCATAGAAGAGATTGAGACCTCACAACATAAGATTCCTATAGTTTTAATTAGTTAGCAGTGGATACATTACAGCCATCATCTGTTGTGAAAATGCACAGTTCACAGTGTAGACACAAATATTTTTTGTCACTATGTCCAGGGCTTTTGTTTCTAGTGGTGCATAGCACTGGCACCTTTCTTTAGACGTTATTTGTTTCAACACTGCTGAAACACATTTTGTTGCGCACTTGTTTTTTTTTTGTCTTGACTACATCATTAAGTTTATTAAGTAACATCTGCTGACAATAATTCTCTTTCCAGGACTTTGATGGGCAGCGCCGAGCAGAGAAATATTTTCAGATTATAATACTTCTGTTTGCAGTGAGTTTTGTTTGTTGCCTGAGATATTTAGTAATGATGATTCTGTGTTGTAGACAGTATGTCATTGTTAATGTCCAACATGATGCTAAGAGGCAAGCTAGAACATGTTGTGACCACTGGAAAGATTTTTGGAAAAAAAGATAAAGAAAGGAAGACAACGTGGGAAGATTCTTCACAGCCTTCTGTCGTGGCATGGAAAGGGTGACCATGGTATTTTGAGCTGAAAACGGGATGTTGTAAGCAAGACTCCCCTCCCCCCGCCCAACCCCCTTTCCTCCTATAAAAAATTTTTTAAAAAGAAATTCAAGAATTTATTATTATTAATAATCATTAAGGAATGAATACATTTCAAGAACATGAGAATATGTAGGCCTATAAATTGTTTAAGCCATACTCAGTAATTATTACTGAAACTGTTTGTATGGTCGCCATATGCATGAATGCTTGAAGGGGTGTCAGCACATGAGTTTGATGAATGCTTTTGGAGATCGGGCCAGGACACACAGAGGAAAATGGGACTGTTCCGGTAAAAACAGGACGTCTGGTCACCATGTGTATAAATGCTTGGAGGGGTGTCAGCACATGAGTGGATGAATGCTTTTAGGGATCACAGAGAGGTATGATCATCCGTGCTAGTCAGCAAGACACTTGATGATGGTGACATGACATCAGAGTTGTTTAAAAACATGACATTTTACATGGGAGACTTGTGGGTCAATTATTAAGCTGTACATATACATCAGTGTGTGCTGGAAAATGATAGCAGGATGACTCATTAACTACAGTTTTTAAATTAAATTGTCTAAGGAGAATTCTTGAATATTTTGACTGAACAAGATCACAGATGAAGAGTTTATGAGAAAGGAAGAAGATGGAGATGACTTGGGTGTGTTTGCAGAATGCGTCATGACACTTTGGTGATGGTTAACAAATATGGAAAGGAGACATGGAGGAGATACATAAACCTGGAGAAGGACAGTTGAGAGGGAACAGTGGAGTATAATCACACGGGATACCGTGGACAGAAAAGCAGTAGACCTAGAGCAGTGTAGATCACTTTTGAATGCCTTCTGCGTCATCAGCAACATGAGGAGGGCTTAGATAGAAGCATTGACCTACTGAATTTTCCCCCCTGAGGCTTCACCAGCCAAGCAACTTGTAGTGCTGCACACTAGATGTCAGTCCAGTAGAACAAATAATCCCATATACCCAGTTCAACCTCTTAAAAAGTCAAAGGCTATCTGCAATAGCTACTCAGAGTGCTACACTGATGTCCTCGGCGAGTAGGGATTTTGCTGCTGTATGTATCATAGTAATTTCCTCCTTTATTTTCCCTTAAAATGCTGGCAGTTGGCACATGTCACGATTACAGCTAGGCTGTGATATCTATGGCTTTTGACCCAACACATCTGATCCCTTCAACAATCCCCTAATAATTTGACTTTTTATGACTTTCTTGATAGAGGGCAGTGGGTCATTTTCAACCCACCCAAATTGAGGACCTAGAACCCACACGAAGAGTATCATTCTAATTGTGAGGTATTTCTGTGATGTCCAGGGAAGCGTTAGAGACATTTTCTTCTGTTCAATTACAGGCTGTTGGCTTCATATGGGGTTACATCACCCAGATGTTTTCTCACACGCTGTACATTCTGTTTACTGGGGTCATCATTTCATCTGTGGTAAGTTGTGACACTATTATGTTTGGTAGTTCTGATGTCGGTAACAAAAAATGGGGAGGCAGACACATTGAATTCTAATTGCTGGGGTCATATTTTTGTATGTGGTCATATGTGACAGTATTTATTTATTATCAGTTGGCAGGTTCTTTACAAAACGTTGCCCTTCTTTACAGAACGTTGCCATTCTTTACAGAACGTTGCCCTTTTTTACAGAACATTGCCCTTCTTTACAGAAAGTTGCCCTTCTTTACAAAACGTTGCCCTTCTTTACAGAACGTTGCCTTTCTTTACAGAACGTTGCCCTCTTCAAGGCACACCTGAAAGTCTGTCTGTGCTTTGGTGTCCACACTCATGCAGGTCGGCCTCTCTATTTTTTTTTTCTGCAAACTGTACCATCTTTTACCATTTTTTTTCTCCTCAGGCCACCATGACGTTTAACATGGGCAAAATACCTCAGCTTTTGGGACAGGATACTGTTTATGAGCCAGTTCTCCTTGATGCTCAGTTCATGTAGGACAGGGCCATTCAACTAAGTTTACCCAGAGGCCAAAACGTTGAAAGTGGGGATCGCTACAAATCAGAGGCTCATGCCCCAGCAGATGAAGATCATTAATACAATACAGTTGGCATCACATGCCTGTTTAGTCACCAGAGCCCTCAAGGGAAGCAAAGAATAGTGACACTGCATCCTAACAGGAATGTCATAAGGGGCGACTAAGGGTAAGGTTGGGTTTGAGGTTGGCTGCCTCATCCTGTAAAAACAATAGCCACAAAAACCAACCAACCATGGATAAGTCAAAAAGAGAAGCAATTAAGACCAAGCCAACCAAGATGAGGGTAGGCTCTTCAAGTTGAAGAATTTTGACACTGGGGAGAAAGCCGAAAGGAGTCCGGATTGTCGACATACCTCCTCTCACCTAAGAAAACCTCCAGAATTGGCACCTGGAATGTTAGAATAAAGGAAGGCGAAAAAAACACATGGGAAGGGAGCTGGAGAATGAAGTTAGAAAGATGGGGAGAGCTGCATATGATAACAAAAGATAGAACAACTTGGCGTAAGTTGGTTGAGGGCCTGTGCTCCATTGTGGGCTAGAAAGAAGAATGAAGTTAGAAAGATGGGGAGGACATGGGGAGAGCTGCATGCGATAGCAAAGGATAGAACAACTTGGCGTCAGTTGGTTGAGGGCCTATGCTCCATTAGGGGCTAGGAAAGCAGAAGAATTGGCATCACATCAGACCTTTGAAAATCAAAATGCTTTGCAGGTGTTGGCTAATTGAGAACCATTGTTGTTTGCTGGCATTATCCTGTTGTGCCATTATCTGTCACGTAGGGCTGACTTCTATTTCTCCATCGTGCTCTATTCTGTGCAGTCAGTTCTGTATCAAATATAGAATCCAGCCCCCCCCCCCCCCCCCCCCCCCGTGAGTTCCGAGGCCCATCGGGGAGAGGGGGGGGCGGGGTATAGACGGCTGCCGTCCCAACAAGAATGTCCTAAGTCGACAAATTTGGGGCTTTCTTCAAAGTCGGAGTGCATCTTCCTGAGCAGCAAGAAACTGCAGACAAAGCCAGTAAAATCGATGCACACGCAAAACTCGGGCCCCAACACACAGCCAACGTCTAAATGGGCGAACAACCAGGTCTTACAGCCGGTGAACAGAGAAGAAGAAGAATAATCCAGCCCAGCAGCTTTGACCTCTCTCATCAGTGTTCATCTAAGGGTTTCTTTTCGGCATCCTCGCCTCCTTAATCCCTTGTTTCCCATTTTAATGGCTGTTTGGTGATTCTCTGCTGGTTTCTTCTCAGGATGTGTCCAGTGTAGCACCATCTTCTCTGTCTTGTGTTGATTTTAGTGGTTGCTTAGACGTTTCTCAGATTTCTTCACTCGTTTTAAATTCATGCCATTTTAATTTCATCACGCATTTAACCTCCGTTTCATGTCATTAACGGCTGGCACACTGTGTTGTGATTTACAGCTAGGCTGAGATATCTGCACCTTTCGGCCTCACACATCTTATTTCAGCAAACCCCTAGTAAATGGTCACCTTGTATGTCATGCTTTTCTCCGACTGTCACTTGCATGTGTTAACATTGTTGCATAGCATACCGTAAAGTGTTGTTGGGTATACTTGAATAATTCATTAACTGGTGCCTGCGCAGCATAGAAGGAATTAAATGGTATGATAGAATAACTAATGTAGAGCTTTGGGAGAGAACTAAACAGGCTCTGGTGGACCAAGAGGTGAGGAAAAGACGCTGCCGTTGGATAGGACACACACTGAAAAAACAGGAGAACAGCGTAACTAGAATGTCTTTGCATTGGAACCCACAGGGGCATAGGAAAAAAGGAAGGCCAAAAAACACATGGAGAAGAGAGCTGGAGAATGAAGTTAGAAAGATGGGGAGGACATGGGGAGAGCTCCATGCAATGATGAAGAATAGAACGACTTGGTTGAGGGCCTATGCTCCATTGGGGGATAGAAAAGCAGAAGAAGAAGAATACTTGAATAATTTGCTAGTTTGTCCTAATGTTAGTCACACATTTTCTCCATTCACTCACAGTTGACCCTGATTCCATGGGGAATGTACAGAAGAAATCCTCTCAAATGGCAGCCTGCCCGGGATAAAGATGGAAACACGGCCAGCCGGCCAGCCATTCCTGCACCTCAGTCACAGAATAAACCAAAAAAGAAGAAGCTCAAAGATTAATAATCAGAAATGGTGGATGCAGCTTTTCAGTCTGCGGTCATAACGTTTACATCAAAAGCTTTAACTGTCTTGTCATGCTCATAGAATAAAACTGCAGTAATGTTTGTGTTTTAAACAAACTTTTTTGTGTGTGTGGTTAATATCTGAACACTTTGCATGGATAGTTATGCAAAAGTGAAAGAGCTTGGAAGAATTAAAAGCAGATTACCAAACTATAAAAGTGAGTTGGACATCCTTTGAAGGTTTTGCTAGGTAATTTTATGTTCAATAGACATTCATTAACTGGGGCCTGTGCAGAATAGAGTGAATTAAATGGTATGATAGAATAACTAATGTAGAGCTTTGGGAGAGAACTAAGCAAGCTCCAGTGGACCAAGAGGTGAGGAAAAGACGGTGACGTTGAATAGGACACACATTGAGAAAACCAGAGAACAGCATAACTAGAATGGGCTATCCTCCGAATAATGGGCACAAAAGATGGCCGCCACAAAATATCCTTAAGAGCCTCAGTCGCGTTTCAGTTGCACACTTCCGGCGACTTAATTTGAGCAAAGCTGCAGGAGATGTGGAAGCTTCTGCTCGTGAGTCCTAGCCATCTAGTTTAGCCCCAATCCACGACTCGTGGCGGTAGTCGCAGGAAAACCGCAAATTAAGTCGCCGGAAGTGCGCAATTGACATTGACTGAGGCTCGTAAGGATATTTTGCGGCCGCCATATTTTGTGCCCGTTATTCGGAGGATAGCCTTAGAATGTCTTTGCATTGGAACCCACAGGGGCATAGGAATAAAGGAAGGCCAAAAAACGCATGGAAAAAAGATCTGGAGAATGAAGTTAGAAAGATTGGATGGGCTGCTTGCAATAGCAACAGATAGAATGACTTGACATGAGTTAGTTAAGGGCCTATGCTTCACTGGGGGGTAGAAAAGCAGAAAAAGAAGTTTGCCTTGGCTTTCTAAACAGTCGTCTTTCAAGAAAAAACCTTTGTCAAAATCAATGCAAAATGGTCTGTTGTAAAATCGCCTACAGCCGGATTTGAACTAGGTACCTTGCAAATTAGAAACCTAAGTATTGACTGACTCTGTTCACTCTTGTTTACACCAATGTCATTTTTATAGTACTTTCTTTGCCGTCCGTTGACAACCGTCATGACCCAGTTACAAGATTGTCACTGCTTTTGTTAATTCTTCTTCTGCATTCCGCTGAGCCCCTAAGATTGATCGCTGCAGATATTACCCATCTTCATTCATATCTGTGCCTGGCCTTCTCTTTCCACTTTGACTGATCGATCGGTTTGTCTCCTCCAGGCTGCTACCAAAAGGCAGATTCCAGATACCCTGTTCAACCTCCACAGAAGTTAAAATAGTTATAATAAGTGTACCTGTTACAGATACACCAGCCTGGAGTAAGCTTTAGTCCTATAAAAATGGTCTCTTTCCAGTGGATAACTTCAGGTATTTATGTAAGAAGTGCTAAATATAATGTAAAAGTGGACTAAGAAGCTCGATGGAGAAAATGGAAAAAGATGCACACAAGCACAACCGAACATTTTGACCAAATTCTTCATCAACTGACTACTAAATACAGCACAAATTGTGACTGGAAAACTCAACAAGACAAGGGAGCTAATTAAAAAAAATCAAGGTCAACATTATTTAGGTCAGCCTGTCTGAATATTAGCTTTCCACCATCTTCTTGGTCTGCCCAGTGGTTCATAATGAAGGCTGACTGCAGTGCATCTACTACTGTCTTTGGAAATAATATATTTAAGGCCTCGGTCTCACTGTGTAGCTCTATTATCACTTACCAGCTCTCATATCACTACCCAAAGTCCATGACAACAGGGTTAACAAAAATATCCACAACATTATTCCAATAATGGAAGACATTTCAGACCTCTGATTTGATTTGAATTTCAATGCACTGTACTAGAATACTACAACTCTTGTCATACGAACAGCAGTAAAAGTCAGCATTTGTTGCAAAGATGGTGCTTGATGGTTATCAGTTTAAGTGAAGTAAGTTGTAAGTAAAGGACCCTTTTCCACTCCTTTAGGTATATTGGGCACACAGGGCTTCATTTTATAGACCAATCGGCACATCTTTACTTAAAAGTGACTTGTACCTGGTAGCCCCCAACTGAAGGCTGGGTCGACATAGAAGCCTAAGCCATTTTAAAGAAAAATCAGGCCGAGTCTGGATCTGAACCGAGACCTTTAGATCCCCAGGTGAGGGTCAAGCCGCTAAACTGTGCCGGCTTTCAACAGTTTTAAGTACCAGTCAAATGTTTGGAGTCAACAGTTCAAATCCTCATTAATACAGTTTGTCTAAGAGGCTAAATAAACCATATACACACACAAAACACTTACCTTGGATACTGCATAGCAACTGTACAGAGAAAATAGCTTTTTCTTCCCCAGAATATTCGGAATGCAAAGGGAAACCCACAGGTTATTTTCCCAAGAACACATTTGACAGGCAGGCACAAAGCCAGGCTTCTAATGGGAGTAAATAAAAGATTCTTGACTGCCTTTTGTCATGGCATGGAGGGGCGTCAGTACATGAACTGATACATGCAGTTGGAGATCACAAGTTGTGGAGAAGCATGAGTCACCAAGGCACTTGATGATAATAAACCCATTCCCACTCGCTAGACCAATATTTTTAGGCTGGCAGATGCTCAACGTACAATGTGGTCAATCAAATGTAGGCTACTTTTCCTTCCCAGGAACTTCCTGTCATATTTTAAATTCTGTATACGTCTTTGAATTTATAATATGATGTTGTCAACTAACGTGTTGTGACTAGATGTATATTTTACCGTTCTGTGTTTTATGGCGGAATAAAGTTGAAGAATTTTAATTTCTTTTTTTTTTTTTTTCTGCTACTCATGCTGTAAAGTGTTGGAGAGAGGAAATATATGTGGTTTCCTGTCTTTTGCTAGTTGTGTAGTTTGTGTTAATAACATATTGCATTCCTGTAGTGTCTCATTTACTCCCTTCACCCATATAATTCTCGGTCAGCCTCTTGCTCCGAAGCCTGCTGTTCTCAGGTTGTATGCTCTAGCTGCTGGCTGATTTGGTTCCTTTCGGATCCCTGGGTTCCGGGGCACTGAAAGATGGGGAGGACATTGAGTGAGCTGCATGCAACAATGAAGGACAGAACGACTTGGCGTGAGCTGGTTAGGGGCCTATGCTCTGTTGGAGGACAGAAGGCAGAAGAGGGTCTCTCATGCCCTCACCCACCTTTACCCCCCAAAAAGAAAAAGGGATCCCCGAACCCTAAAGGGAATACTGGATATTTAAAAAAACTAAAAGCGGAGATTCCTACAGTTGCAGAATATGCAGGAATACATAAAACACCTGAGCATCTACAGACAAGTAAGTCACTTTACAAATAAATTCAGCCCAAAACAAAAAGCTACAAAATTAACTTTATGCATAGCCACATGTTGTTGACAAATTAGCAACCCCAGATACAAGGCAAAGATTTTCAGAGTTTGTAAAAGGAATCTTGTTCACACCGTTGGCCCATCTGGTATCTGCTTATATACCCAAAATGGCACTTTATGGGTGATGTCATCAACATTATTCTGGCTACTCTATCTTCTAAAGACATTTCCTGTTAGTGTGATGCCAGACTGGAGCAGTGTGGGCTGGTGGTCATCGGTCTGAGCAAGGCACATTTGTGAAAATGCCCTGGTCCCAAAGTCAACCAGTCTTTTCTTCTTAGCATTCATCGGCTGTAAACTCCAGTAGAAATTTCTGGTTGTTCGTCTACTTCTGGACTTCAATCTTGTTCCAGAACTTGAGTTTTCTGTGCACACCTATTTTACACATCTGGCTTATTTGTGTGCAGACTGATGGTTCCCCTACCCTCAGATGCACTCTGTCTCCAAAGGAAACACCCTAATAAGTTGCCTTCCATGACCCCCCCCCCCCCCCCCCCCCCACACACATGGACACCCATTCTAAAATGGACCAAAAATATTTTGGGAAGTACAAGCAACCGCTGGGGTATTGGCCATATCACCCTCCAAGTGATGATTATCTATATAACAAAAATATATGGGTATTTAAAATTTAATTCACCACAAACAAAGGAAACCAAAGAGTTCCCAGAGAAGTCCAATATTATATGGGTTTTATGGTTTGAAATGAATTTGGTGGGACAATATGAAGAGAATGCCTGCATGCCCTGGCATGAAAATGAAACTGGTCTTTCTCAGCCCCGCCCGCCTCAGAGATACAAACTAACCTAACCTTAACATCCCTGGAATAGTGGATGTTCCCGGGAACTCCCGGATTTCCTTTGAGGTGAATTAAAATGAAAGTACCAACATAGGTAGCAAATGATGCTAAGCCCATATTTTTTTGTAGACCATTCATCCCTCGTCGGCTCTATGGTTAAGTTGACGCGAACGCTTCAGGATGCCGGGTTCGTCCGGAAAGCAGTGGAAAAATACTGGGCATAATTTTGCCTATAAAAACCACAAAACAGCCAGGGGTTGTTGGGGTTGGTTCTGCAACGTCCTGTAAAGGATATGTACGGCTCCCAAGAAGTAGGACCGCAATCTTGTATCATCAGCTGAGACAACTCGCCTGATATATTATTGCATGTTTCCAGGTCTCGCACTCAGTTGTAAGTAACACACCAAATGATCACATTCCAACACTGAATAAATGTCATCCGTCTAAAATAAATGACAAAATTTTCTACTTGTTACTGCCTTATCTTCTTTAGTCTTTCATATAAGGTTAGTTGCGTATCCTTTACAGGACGTTGCAGAACCAACCCCAACAGCCCCTGGCTGTTGCGTGGTTTTTCTAGGCAAAGTTATGTCCAGTTGTTTGCCATTGCTTTCTGGACGGTCGGCTTTCTTGATACCACTGTCGAAACCAACGCAAGGCGCGTAGCCCGCAGCTGGGATCGAACCCGGCATTACGAAGCGCTCGCATTGACTAAGCCACAGAGCCGACATCTTTCATATAACTATATTTTAAT